ATTACTCTATCCTTCTCATGGACCCTGTGTCGACGTCACATGTAACGTTGCAGGTTCTACAAATTCCTTCTTCAATCGTCTCTGGAATTGCCTCACAATAGCTTACGCGATCTACGTTTATAATTTATAACGTATATTAAATAACCTCATGAGAATTACACATACTATCCGCACCTTATATAGTGTTAGTGCTTATTATAGACACCAACCACTGCCCATACTTGCGGTTAATGCTCATTAATTGGCTCTCCGTGCAGCTGGGGTATCAACGCAGATTGTGGCCAGTGGTAAGAAGAAGGGGCGGAAGTAAACCAGTACGAGGACACATACAAAGCCCAATGTCGGTAAGCATACACCCTGACCGATGTTCGGGCCAATTTTGCATAGGGATGACACCCGCCACACATAGTACATACTCTGACGGGATGTATGTAGTACTATGAACAAGGTAGACAGTGCAAAGGAGGAGTGCGGCAATCATACCCACAGACTCGACAGTATCACAGACGAGACCCGCCACGGAGAGAGACAACAACCGCACCGGCCGTGAGATGTGCTCATTCAACATAGCTTCAGGATACGACATGGCAGTAATAGTACCATACTGCTTAGGAATAGCACTGTAATGCTTAGGAATAGTACTATACTGCTTGCGAATAGTACTATACTGCTTAGGAATAGTACTATACTGCTCAGGAATAGCACTATACTGCTTGCGAATAGTACTATACTGCTTAGGAATAGTACTATACTGCTTGCGAATAGTACTGTACTGCTTTAGTAGTACTTTACTGCTTAGGAATAGTACTATATTGCTCAAGTATAGTACTATATTGCTCAAGTATAGTACTAAAATGCTTGTGAATAGTACTGGACTGCTTGCCAATAGTATTATACTGCTCAGGGTTGCTGGTGCAGATGCACTCCAACATGTGGATCACTCTCAGGCGAACAATAAACATCAATCTACACCAGGCGCTGGGCAGAGAATCAGCACACTTCAACATACACCCACACTACACAACACGCACGAGTCGACACAGCACAGCCGGTTGTTTGCAGATGCTACGAACCAATTTCGAGGTGTGTTTGCACCACGAACCTTCGTCATGTGCTTGTCAGTACCCCGAGGACAATAATGGCCCTCGTACGGCGTGAAACGGACTGTACTTGTCCTGAAAAGCACCCCACATTCTAGCACACGTAAGACTGCCACAGACTGTATCAGGAACAGATAGGACCTGCCAGATATGCTCCCACTATCGGACCTTCAGCATCTCAGATTCGATTTTCTGGGCAGCACATACGTGAATCGCAAGCACGGTACTCTAGACACAGTAGAGTGGTGTCCACATGTTGCACTTGGATTCATACGCATATGTGTGTATCACTCTTAGGACGTTTAGGATTGTAGCGATGTTCAGCTGATACTGTCAGAAGAGTCTCGTCACTATATATATAGTATATATATATATATTTATACATACATACATATATATATATACATTCATACATACATACATATATATATATATGTAATATAATATAATATATATAATATAATATAATATAATATAATATATATATATATATCGTGTCACACTTTACAGTATAAGCCGTGCACACGGTATGCCTGGTGCTGAACAGTGTATTTCATTCACGTCAACGCACAGGGCCATCAGCGGTACAGATGGGGTGTTGACCAATCACATTGAGCATATTGCTAGTGTCTTGCAAAAACCACAGCAGAGTACCATGCCCCCCTAATTAAGTCAAGGCTATTAGAGTATGAGCTTCATTTGACTATTGAGATCTGTAGACAGCTGTGGTACGCACGGCAAACCTCACCTCCGAGTCCGTTGGTCAAAGGAGTGCCCCATCTTCACACGCGAGCAGGACGGTATATTATGGGGAACAACAGGAATTGTCCAGTATCGGTCTCCCAGATGTGGGCCGCGTGACACTATGGGCATCGAATGGGGGCTCTTATACCGGTGTGACGGGACGTTCAGCTCGATTACTAGTACTGCTGTGCTCAGTTTGAAGCTTGTGCGGGAGGAGCTCGCATCAGAGCCACAGCCAGAGCGTTATGCGAGCACTACCAATCCCCACAGAATACAAAGCTCAGGCTGGATACATAGTATATAGTAGGCACCGTATCTGGACGCTCCACAAACCAATATACGGGACTTCGACACAGTAGAGCGAGGTAAACATTTTCTTCTTCAATCGCTGAGATCACTATAAAGCACATCAGAGATGAAGTAGATATCCAGCGCACGCTATGCAAGGAAATTGTAATACATTCTGGCCCTTATACATCTGTAGCAAAGTCGAGTATTCCAAGCAATACAGTTTTGAATGACCTGCCCTGACCCATAACGCAAATCATGTTATAGCGTTGTTTAAATTTGTTCAATAATAAAACGTTGGCATATCGTCAGCCGCTATATAGTTCCACGAAAACGGCTTGGAAGGAAACCAACACTTGGACTACCCGCACAACAATACGCATTTAAGAACATTATGTGCATTCGGTCGGCCTAAGTGTCACCGTTTATGCCACCGGCGCTATCGCAACACAGTTGTTGAGCATCTTAAGCGTAACGCTACTGCCACCGCTGGTGTACCGGTCTCGCAACTTCAGGACCACCAACATTTGCACTGCTACATACAAATTTAGTAGATTTGTCATATATTTGAAGACGCGAGACTACATATCAATACGCCGTGAGAGTCGTGCTCAAGGTATACGCCAGCTTAAACACTCACACTCTCTCGAAACTTAACTAATGTAACATACGCTCGAAATACAACATTGCACTGATCCTTCCATTCGTAGTAGAGTATATCAATATGTAACGACCCAGATATGCAGTAGTGAAATTAAATATCAATTAAACCCAACAAAGAGGCTGCAGTATCGTCAACCGAGCAGCCGTTAAAAATCAGGAACTTCGAGCTACTTGGTTGATAGAAGTTTATAGATATATATCTACTTGTAGGTTGAAGTATATGAGTCCTGCGGACTCGTTCAATCTCCCTCTTATTTTTACTCTTCGTCCTAGATGGTAATGAATCTGTGATATGTCTAGAGAGGACAGTAAACAGATTGTTGAGGGGTGGGGGTAACTATTGGATACATCAACGATGATAGTTTATGATGAATCTACTGGTGATATAGACAATATAAAGTGGATGACTGGGACCTGTTAGTAATTTGATGTAGAGTTTCTCTCTCTCTACTACTACTATAGAGAGTGCATTCTAAGGATTGAGAGTATAAGGGTCATATTTACTATCATACATAAATACATACCACAACAATCCCCAAAAAAGGCACGAAAGCTTCGTTTCCTCCGTCAAATAAATCGCCTGACGCCTCCTGACAGACATAGCCTCCTGAATCCTGACGGATGTATTTTGTTTGTACATTTTATTTTTATTTTTAAAACAATATATATATATATAAATAATAAAATACTAAGCCACGCACTACTGGCCACACACCAGCTGTCCTACTCTACCAGACCAGAGAGCCCCACGGGCGGCCACGGCCCATGGCCACGGGACACTCTGAGTCACTGACTTGTGTGACAGGAGCCACGGAAATTCTTTGTCGCTGACGCCTGACAGCGAAAGCAGAAATTCTTTCCCGGAACCAATGAAAATCGAATGATTTTACGAAAATTTATCTAAAAGTTAGTATGACTCGGGTGCTTAAGAAATTTGAGACAGATGTCTCAAACTCGTACATTCCTGTTGAGAAATCAAACACTCTGCTACAACGTTCGAGACAATGGATAAAGTTTAATACATACTTGAGAGTTTAAGACATTTAAAAGTGTTCATTGTTCGACTTTGAATCACCTAACATGGTAAATAGTGACGAGGAGACTAGAGTCTAGACTAGAGAGAAGGGTTCTTTGTCGCGAGAGCTGAAGACTATATATATAAAAGCTGAGCGTTGCAGTTATTGTATTTAGAACAATAATGGTTGACAACCGTTCAAGTAAATAAAAAGTACAATATAACTGCAGTGTTTGGGATCTCGGACTGTACAATCAGGTGAAGCCTTTGGTTTATTGATCTTATTTGCCGTGATGCAAGGTGCCGCAAGATTTTCCTGTTGTACTTCAACCCCTACAAGCCTCCTTGTCTCTATATGCAGGCGGAGCCAGTCTGCATTATACAGCAATGCCGTCTTGGCGCCCCGTTTCGAGTATAAATCAGATGCAAGCGTCTCCGAAAGCGAGGATGAGGTCAATGCTCAAGCTATGACGCAAAGGACGAGGACTGCTACATATAATCAATACAAATTAACCGATTACTTCCAAGAAGACCGTGTACACTTTGAGGAGGTGCATTTGAGTAGGAGAAGGAAGGCCTTGCAAACAGCCACGCTATACAGACGCCTCATCTAAGGGTCTCTGAATAGTCCCAGTGTATATAATCAAAGAATCACGCCATCGTGCAAATTGCAAGGATCTTCACCGGCTATGAAGTACGATACTACGCTTGGACTATACACTAGTGAGGCTGCTCTCGATAACACCTGGTCTTGTTGATGGCTGCCGGACGATTATATATATATATATATATATAAATAAAACAATTAAAAAAATACTTAACCCTGCGGACGGTTGGTACTAATTCATATCGTCTGGATGGAAGGGTCGTGCCTATGGATGGTTCTAGGAGGATGCTGGACTCTTTTTGGGTAGTCAGCAAGCGTGGCTGCATTCGACAATAAGATTTAGTAAGTCTGCCGTCCGGCAATGTATATATATATATATATATATTGTGTCATTAAAATACTAAAATACTGGTTATATTTTTATAAATGTGTTGGCATGACCTATGTACTTTTCTTTCTCACTTAATTATGAATATCACTCGAATGCCTACTAAGAGATAACACTTGCGATTATAGAGCTTAGTGGTAACCAATAATATCGGTTGAACAAACCAAATTCGCGAATAGTAGCCATTCAGCTTTTGGCAGCTTGTCGAAACGCACTGGGTATTCTTTCTTTGTGCGAGTAGCCGCTTTTGATAAATCATCAGGTGGTATTGATGGCTAAACCTCACTGCGCCTATAGGCTCGAATACCTGTCCTGATATACCCGAAAGCGGTGGAGGGCAATTACAATCTGAAGAGACGTAGAGAGATATGTAATAAGCCTTGATGATGCTTCATACTATCATTTTTCAAACCGGGCTGATAACTCTAACGTTCCCAAATATTTATCCGCGCTAGTTAACCGACACTTTTGCTGTCTGATGTCGATAAACTACAAGGAAACATCTCATAATACAGTCAATATGTCAGTGCTTGTTCGATGGCGGAAGAAAATTATTTAACTGTCAGTCCCATTGTATCTATATCCAAATAGCAACAGGTTTGTATGACAACCTGTCAACAACATCGGAGTATAGCTGTATCCAGCATACAATACTGTGTCGTACAATTAGACAATTCCTGCCCGATAAAAAGAGCTGGCGCTGTGGGCAGAATAAAATGTTTCCTTTGCAAGCATAGACCGTTTATCGCTCAATACTAGGCTCAATGAGTATAATTTCGAACCAGGATGGCGACTTCCTATGTGTATGGCAAACTTGCGCACTTGATAACTTTGCGTACACTGAGCGAGGTCCGCCTGCAATTTTGAATAGGGAAATATTGGATCACGTCATAAAAGGCTTCTACATAGGTACGTAATTTCCATTCATACAAACGGATGTAAAGCTGACAACTTGACCGATGAATTGAGAAGAAAAAAAATTATGCCAATCGTAGACATCCAAAACAACCTCAATTCTAACCTTTGCAACAGTGGTGCTAGGCCGAGGACTGCAGAGTTTTAAACAGATATCGAATTTTTATCAAAGATCTACACGTTATAAACAAAGCACGACCTTGCAACGCGCCATCATTCGAGTTGAGATCGTACTATATGACGAGCTCAGACTTTCCGACATGAAGCAAAATAGCAAGGGAAACCAAAATCAGAGACATACTATTTTAACGAAATAAATACATATGATGTGATTTCACCAGCTTTCAGACAAGCTATATGATAGTGGACCAGAGGGCAGAGTGGTGTATTTACACATAATAACAACAGAAATCAATAGCCTCCTCCATAGCATTCTGTTCAATTTAGTAGGCTATTTATGCCTCCTTGCGTTCATTTATTTTTAGAGGAGGGCACGAGACCTAAAAAAGAACAGAAGAGGGTATGAAAATATGGAGACAAAATGAGAAGAAATTTGGAATATGTATTTACTATTTATTGAGGACAAAGTTTATTTGTGTTCTTTTGTAAAAAACCAAAAATGTAAATAATAAATACAAGTGTATCCAGTATCAAGAGTATGTTTTGTTAGAAAAAAAATCAATGAACCCGTTTAAAAAAAATAGCTATTAATTTTTTTTAAATGCTTTGTTTTTAGGAGGCTATGAAAATTGTTGAATTCAGACATAGCCTCCTTTTTTTTTAAACAAAACATTCAGAAATCAGAAGGCTATGTAAAAATATGATGTACTAAATACACGGCCCTATGAATTTGGGTCTCTGGACTCTCCACTAAAATTTTCGATTTTGTAGGGAGAAACCTTGATTTCCGGGTCGTGCTAAAAATATTTACATATTTACATCAGCTAGAGGGCTTAAATAGCCTTCTAAATCATGCAGTTAGTAGAGACGGCAGTTTAGGGTTTGAGGGTTCTTCATTACGTTTCTATACAAATCGTTTAACGGCTACGAAAATATTTACTGCAAGAAAGCAAACAGTATTTATAAAAAAACATAGTTATGTTAAATAATAAAAATCATACATATTTACATACTTTTTATATATAAAAACCATTGTGAAGAGTGGTCACGACTCATGACTCACGACTCATGGTCCCATGGACTCAGCCGAGTCAGGAGTCCAAGACTCAGGGGACGTACTCAGGCCCCAGTCCTCACGGCCCACGCCGCCCCCACGCCCACCGCCCCACGACCCACGTCTGTACATAAATATTTACTTTGTGTTTTGTACAAAAATAAAAAAACGACAAAGACACAAATTGACTTGCTACCCAATAACAATTCAGATCACTTTTCAGACAACATTCCAAATCAACTCCATTCAAGCACTTCAAAACAATTGTTCTGCGTGAAATTGTGTAGAATGACTGAAAACAATGCGCGCTTTTGTTTTTATTTTAAAGCTGCTGTTGTGATATCAAGTTTCAACTAACATGCATATTGTAAATATAAATGTTGGTAGGAGATGCAATGTGCCTTCATAAATATGTGTATGCTGTAAAAAAGCCATGATCATTATAAACAAAAGCGCAATAAGTTATACCTTGTTACTTTGTTTTTCGACATGTGTTGCGGGTGATTGTGGCACAAATGGAGAGCCTCTTGCAAATAAAGCTGACAGTTGTCTATGCACATCGAGCTACTATGGTACAAATTGTGAAAGTCAGCTCTCTAACGCTTCTACGTGCGCAACCTGGAATGATCACGAAATACAGTTGGAGATCAAAACGTCGGCTACACTACACACGGAAAACAAACTAGTTGATGACCAGTATGTACACTGGGAAGTATCAGTTCCCGTTGGGGCGAATAGAACATACACGCGTGTCAAGGTTGGCACTTGTGTCGATGGAGCGAATCTGCAAGTTTTTGAGCAGAAGTCTGATCCATGCGCTGATAAATTGATAGTACAGATGAGTGTGTCATTTATGGCTGGTTCTTGTGGCTTCTCGCTAACTAAAACGATTGCAAATCAGACGCAGTACAACAATTACACTTCGTCAATATCTTTACACTACAGCGAACCTACCACAGTAGCTACCAATATCGTGACTAGAACAGCCAACGTACTTGTACCAATCAATGTGCTTATCGAATCACAATTTTCAGCGCAAACCTCTGAGGTTGAAGTCTTCTCACCTTTCGAGATCACGGCGGCCCTGTCGGCTCTGACCGTTGTTCCCGGATCAACATTGTCTACCATGTTGGTGAGCTACGTTGTCGCGTATCCGTACACTGTGACAGGTGCAAATCCAATACTGACCTCCTCGACCGAAAACACTGCGTCAATTTGCAAGACGGATAACGCCGGCGATTGTGGGGCCATTCCTTTTGTGGCTGATGCATGTGATGCAGATGAGTATACCCAGACAGACAAATCATGTCTGAAATCTTTTTTTGTGCGTGTATTACATGGAGAATGCGAGCTCACGGGCAACTACACAATAAAGAACGTGGCAGTTGCCTGTCATGCCGGACTACCGGACCAGGATTGTCCGATACGGGAGGCTAACAACAGCTCAAGCATAGACTTCTCGGTGACGAGCGACAACTTTTGCGATTTTCTGGGTATCCAGACTATTGATCGAGCAGTAAGCATTGAACGTTTTGTCTTTGTTGACCCTGAAAATAGACAAAGAGATGCAGAGAGCTATTTCAGTGGTGATGCTGCGACAGGCAGTCAGGTGTTGATGGCGTCAGCAAACATACCCAACACAGCGCTTGTATACAACCAAAATGTTTACGGCAGGATAGACTTTGGCGGAATTGATGTCAAATCTGTGGATATAGTGCGAAGCCAGGTAAAGCTAGAGGGTGATGCTGACTGGGTGGATTCAATTAACTTGCCGGATTCTGATGTATCCATATCACTCACTGCCGGAGTGGATTATCCGCAAACCCGCGAGGACAATTATGAAAGCAGCCTTTCCTGTGCCAAGCTAGGGTTGTGTTTTGACGACCAAAGCTTTTTGATTCGGTTCCTTCTAGACGACAGTCTTGTACCGCCAATGACCAACCCAGGACTTGGTAATACAAAAGGGTTGGACTACCGACTGACTATCGAGGTATCGTACGACAGCATTGAAGCTTCCAATCGTCGACGCAAACGTCAGACCTCTGCTGACCCCGGAAGTGCAGGAAATCACGGATCGGCTATGGTGTGGGCTTCTGCAACAGCGAAGGGGACTGAGGAAGAAACCGCATCTCAGCAGGACGATGGGAACGCTTCAACCTCGCATTTCACAACAATGGAGATATTAGCTTGTGCACTTTTTGGACAAGTGCTTTTATACACTCGCGCATAAATCTTCATTGATCTCTGGTCCAGAGGTTTGTCTAGTTTAAATTCGCTCATGACGTCGGTTACCTAGGTTTAATTCGTCAGATACATTAGGAGAAAATGTTCGGTTATGCTATATTTCGAATGATCTTAGGTACATACGCACTAGAGACCATTTTAGAATCGAAGTTTCGGTAACAAGGTCACAAAAGGTACTGCACCTATCATCAAACTTATTGCTTGCAGACTCAATAAACAGTAGTAAAAACGCGTAAATATTGCTTAACACATCCGACAAACTTAGGCGAGGATCCGCGACGGCACCACGTTTGTCATACGTGAGTAAGCTGATTTATATATTATTCGTGCCTTCAATTCAGAATAACAGCTGCGAAATCACGCCAACAATATCGTTGTGTTTTATTTTGATATTCTTTTGAATTTTCAACAAGGTGTTTTGCAATGAAATTGGACATCGCTATTCAACCACTTTTAGAATGAACATTTGTGTACTATGGAAGAAGGCTATTTATGGATTTATGGAATGTTCAATGTTCCATAGCTTCTAAATTTTTAAAATAATATTATACATAAATAGTACAGAAGAAGGCTATGAATTTTCACACTAACAGAAGGTAAAAATAGGAATATTTTTATATTTTGTTTATGTAATAAATAGAACTTTTGGTTTTTGTTTTTGTTTTTAAAAACCCCAAAAACAAAAACAAACCAAAAATAGTAAATAAAAAGACATATTGTAGTTTCCAGATATTCTGAAAAATTTATGACCCCTGCTACATTTCAAACTAAAAAATATGCCAGGTTATGATTGGATAAAAAGTAGCTGCCGTGCTGTGTAGAATTACTTCACAAAAGTATTTTTTTGGTCGATCCCCCGCTGCTGATTGGATTAGAAGTTAATAAATTTCTGAAGAAAAACAATTAATATTGTACTTTGTCATCTATAAGAACCAACCAGAATGCCATAAGAAAGGGCAAAATCCCCCCAGTCCAGTCCATATTTTTACAGATAATAAAGTAACCAAATAAATATAATTGAGGTGCTTTACGACATGTATACGAAATGCTAAAATATTGTATTTATTACAACTTGAGTATTGTGTTTACATGCTAATCGCACTATAAACAACGATGCACATCACCACGAGGTAGCTACCGTTGATAGCCGAGGAGCTACAACTGGTAGCTCCTGGGCTGACCGCGGTGAGCCGGTGAAAAAGAGCTCACTTTCTTCAGTTATCTATAGTAGCTGTTGTAGTAGCTGTTGTATTGAGATCATTATTGTAGAATACCTTTAACTAGATACCTTATCATGTAGATCACAGTTATACTAATAGTACTTATTTGCATATTGCTGTACATAGACACATGTTCTCAAACACAGAGCAACATAGATAGCATATATTTAGCTACTTAGTACTCTATTCATCATTGAGTATGCAATATGTCAGAAACAAACAGCGACGTTAACATCGATTTCATTCCAGACCATGTCTCGTCATCTGACGATGAGGAATTCATAAGGCATTCAGGACCAACGGTTGCATCTCTTGTCCAGTCTAATAATGTGTGTAGTGAAAGCTCTATCGAGAAGTGGAGGATTAATACTAGCAAGCACCGCACACTAGAAACCTTGCTCCCACCTAATACGAGGCCAAGTGTACCACTAACACCGATTCACATTCGACACACGCAGCCAGTGAAAGGGTATAGAAATGAAAAAGAATTACACAAGTCCATATTGGAACACTCATACACACACAAATCACTTGTTGACACACCGCAACACAACAAAGGTACACCACATTCACGACTAAGCAAAATAAGCACAAGACACTCCTCGACGAAGCGTAAAAGCAGCTCATCACCTGCAACAGTGGCAAGCGTCAAAGGGCATAAACCCTTACTCACATTATTCTTCAATTTCTAACACACGAGACCAGAGATTACACATAGACATACAAATCAATGGCACCACATACAATGCACTAGTAGATTGAGAAACACAACGCTCATACATGGATCGCAGTGTAGTATCTAAACTATACTTGTCAGTAAAAGCACAACCCGGGTACATACAGCTAGAACAATCCGATGCACGAGTACAACGTACAGGTTCCACAGAAGTATGTGTTACCAATTACGGCAGTAAAAAGACATCAAACTGCTTTGAGGTACTCGTCTTCCCAGTCAGGAAATCAATCCTTTTAGGTATGGACATTCTACCATATTTAGGCATACTTATAGCGGGGATGATCAATCCACTAATACCAACAGATGCCAAATGGGAACCACTTCTCACACCACATGAAGAAGATCTTGAACATGATCAAGTTGGATTCAGAGTATCACTCTGGTATCTATTAGACCAGAACGGCCAGATCCCACCAGATGTACACTGCAATTTACCAGGATCAGTTGTGGATATACCGAATCAAAAAGTCAAAGCCAAGAACATTCGTCACGCTAAAGTTTAACCAAGTCAAAATGTCAAAGACAAGAACATTAGTCACGCTAAAGTAAACTTTGTTCCACACAAAAGAGTACCCCACTATACACTACCCCTGCGGGGTAGTTAATAGTAAATGGGATCCGACGGTACGTTTTCTGATTACCCTAACTTGGGTTTTATTTGGGGTTTTGGTCCAGCAACAAACCCCCCCCCCACACTTCCCCACCCCTGCCTCCCGCCAAAAAAAAAAATTTATCCGTCGAAATTTTACACACACGCACTGGGGCCCATGGAGAGCGTAATTTCTGAAAGTGCAGAGACACAAACATATACAATATGATAATCGCTATTTATTTATTTTGCCTGCATCTCTCATATAAACGGGGTTGCCTTGCGCTTACATAGCGACCCATTCCAAGCCAGTATTCTAAGGGCTTCGTACACACACTGTCTAGATTATGATCACGAGAAAGCGAAAATCCGTTGCCCAGAAGAAAGATACAACGATCGATAAGGCTCCGAGAATTGAAGGTATGAACAGCTCTGAGCTAGCGGCAAACGCATAACTTGAGGTTGCTTTTAAACATACATGCACTGTCTGCATTTGTCGATTTAACCTATTTCGCTATTTTCCATAGATGTTTATGAGAATGTTGGAGACGTAGATCAACGAGCTGATATCCAATACCCCGAAACAAACGAGAACCAGAGTACAAGTATGCCTCTCGATTTATATATATATATATATATATATATGTCGTGTGTGTGTGTGTG